GGTTTTGCCTCGTAAGCATCTTGAAGAAGGTATGAGACTCGAGCTCTCAGAACTTGATGCTTTTGGTGTAGCTACGATTATAGGAGAAGCTGAGGCCCGTAAACGAGCTACACGGAGAATTCATACGACTAGGTGGGTTCTGACTTCGAAACCGTCGGCCACGAACCCTGAACGAGTTCGTGCTCGTCTTGTTGTGAGAGACTATGCATTTGGATCCAATCCTCTAGCTGATGGGATATATTCCCCCACCACGTCTTTGGAAGCCTTGAGGGGTGTCCTTGCTATTCATGCTGTCAGAGGTGGCACCTTGTTGTCAGCAGATGTGAGCGTTGCCTTCATGCAAGCGCCTGTGCAAGGAGTAGAGTGTATCCGGTTTCCGAATGGGATGTATGATGAGGAGAACAAGCCGCTGTTTGCGCAGCTACACAAAGCCATGAATGGCTTGAGAGTAGGACCACTGAGCTGGTACCTAGAGTTTACAAGCACGCTGCGTAAGCAGTTTGGGTTTGGTGAGACTGCCGACCCTACTGTGCATCACCGGCTTGAGAAGGATGGTGCGCTGACCTTGGTGTTAGTGTATGTTGACGATCTCATCATCTTTTCCCAGAATCCGCCAGTTGCCAAGGATCTGTACGCTAAGCTAGCGAAGATCTATAAAATGAAGCAGACAGGGCTTCTAGAACCTGGCAAGACTGGGCAGCTCGAGTTCTTGGGTCGAGTGATCGCCCGAACCACTGAGCACGGGCCTGTGTTCTTTGGCCTGAAGCCGGGGTACTTGAAGTCGCTTGGAGAAGAGTTTGGCATTAGCGGAAAAGGTGTGAAACCAGTGCTGGGAAACCTCGAGAGGGAGTACCGGAAGAAGGAGGCTGGAACACCTATCAGCACTGAGGCGTATGAACGCTATAGACGTGTGCTTGGTAAGTTGATGTGGGCAAGCCTGACGTTGCCGCATTTGTCCTACCCGGTAGGATTTCTGGGCCGGTATCAGAGTGACCCAGATAGCCAGGCAGAAGCTTGCTTGAGACGCGTGGTTCGCTGGGTAATGGCTTTGCCTGAGTACCTTCAGCGATTTTCGGCAGAAGCGTTGGAGTATCCTTGCTGCGCTTCGGAAACCAGGCTCTCTGGCTTTGTAGATGCGTCATGGAACATTTGCTCTGTGTCTGGTGCTATTGTGAAATGGCATGGCATCATGATCAAAACTTTCTCGCGGAAACAGTCGGTGACCGCGTTGAGTTCGGCGGAGGCCGAATTGGCAGCCCTGACTGAGGCAGCCAAAGAGTCGGTGTACTTGTCTTTGCTCATGGAAACGCTCCTGTATGGAATGCCCAAAGGAGAGACCGGTGAGTTTCCGATTCACCTGGCTTCGGATTCGGAAGCCGCTTTGTCGATTAGCAAAATGACGGGGTTGTTACGCCGTGTTCGGCACCTGGAGCTTCGTCATCGCTATCTTCAAGAGCTAGTCCACCTGGAAAGGCTGATTCTAAGCTTCATCAGTGGAGAACGGAATCCAGCCGATGGACTGACGAAATCTCCTGAGGAGTTGTTGCTTGAGCATTTGCTGGTTGCGTGTGGACTGGAAAGAGTGTGTGAAGAAGACCTTCAGGGTCTTGTAGTTCCTGAACACCTTCGTGAACGAATGGAAGAACTTGAAGAAGTATGTGAAAAGCTTGAGAAAATCCCGACAAACCTGGCGAAGTACGAGCCAGTGGCAAGAGACCTTGCGTTGGGATCTGTTCCTCTGCTTGTGATCGAGGTGTTTTGTTCAACGGACAGTGCGTTGTGCCGAGCGTGTGCTCGTGACCGAGTAGCATATATAGGCATAACTGAGAAAGAAGACTTCTTAAGCAAGAGTACTCAAATGTTTCTAGGAGAGGTCTTGCTGTGTCTGTTGAGTAGGAAACCGCCCCAGATCTATGTCCACATAGCTTCCCCGTGTACCGCTGGATGTAGCTACCGCTTTAAGAACTGGCATCGACCGAAGTTTCGACATCGGTGGCGAGAGCAGGTCAAGAAGCATGTTGCATCTTGGAAAGCTTTAGGAAGACTTCTGGAGGACCGCTGCAAAGAGATCCTGGTTACCCAGGAATGGCCAAAGAACTGTGGTCTTTGGAAGGAGGAAAGTTATCTGAAAGAAAAGAAGCGCCTTGGTCTGAACTTTGGAAGGGTTGTGGACCGTTGTGCCTTCGACGGGGTCTTTAAGCGGTGGTTCTTTGCTACAAACCGAGAGGAGTGGAGTGAAATCTTCTCTGGAAAGCCCTGTGACAAAAGTCATCAGCATGTTTCACTTGCTAGTGTCGAAGAAACAGGTATCTATCCGACTAAACTGGGTAGAGCTCTTTTGCGTGCTGCGAAAGTCACGTTAGGTCTTGTAGGAACACCTTCTTAGGTCGGCAGTAGGAGTGCTCGCTTTCGGACTTTGCCTGGGATGAGATGTTTAAGCACTGGAAACACCGAGCTGTGAAGAAGTGTGTGGCTCTGAGGCATCACAGTCCAAGCGGGGGTGTGAAAGTTCCTGTCTGGCTCAAGGTTTCGGCTCAACCCCGGTGGGGTGCTCAGGTAGAGAGCGTCTTTAGTGCCGTTGTGGCTGGCCCTGGGGCTTGTAACTAAGGGTAGGTTCCGTTTTGAGGCCTGGCAAAACTGTGTTTGCTCGTAGGCCGGCTGACCGGCTAAGCTGTCATAGAGCGGCGGCCCGCCAACTGCTGCCGTCGACGAAGGGCGTGAGTGCACAGTTTTCGGCCTCGCTTCGCTTGAGGGAAGCTTTTCGTCCTCGCGTTGCTGAGGGAACCTTGTGGCCTACAGTCTGCTCTGGGTCACAGTGAGAGTTGCAGCCTCGCATTGCTTGAGGGGTGACGCAAGCCTGTTGCTCACCAGAGATTCCTGCTGTCTCTGGGTGAGCAAAACCCACCGACCCTCATTTGGATTGAGGGCTGTGCTGAAGGTGAGTTTGGGTTCCTCGCTCACTTGTGTGGAAACCGAAGGTGAGACCGAAACACGGGGGGAAACGGCCAGGCACGCTGCAGACAGTGCAGGCCAACGTCGCACTGCAAGAGGCATCCTTGCAGTGGCGACAGGAGTGTCCCGAACAATTGCGGTGTGCTCGAGCCCAAGCTTGCAGGTTTTCGGGGATCTGCAAGCTGAGCACAACAGGATTTTCTTCGCAGGTAGAATCAGGTAGAAAAGATTTGGCCCAACCCTGGTGGATCTGCCTGGACATAAATAACCAGAGGCATCAGTGTCGTAAAGCTCATTGACTGGTGCTACTGAGAAACCGTTGCCAAGGAACTTGCAGTAGGACTGTGGTGCGGCGCAGTGCAAGTTGAAGAGCAGCTGGTGGTGGCTGCTCCCCGGAAAACCAATAGTCCAAGAAGCCTCCTTCGGCCTCGCTCCGTGCTGAGGGTTTGTAAGGGTTGGTATTGGCCGGAAAGGATTCAGATGGAGGTTACCCGATCTTCGCGCTTTTCCCATCTGAAGGCAACCAATGGTAATCAGCCTGCTGGACATGGCAGGCCTGCTTTTGTTTACATCCACGTCTCCTGCAAGGGCTGGGGTCTGTCCGTGCACACAGACAAGGCGGAACCTTGCAGATGTTTAGGTCCTCGCGGCACGGCCGCTGGAGGTTGTTTGAAGATGTTGGCTCTCACTATCTGGTGAGTGGTTTGTATGGGCACTTGCTGGGGCAAGGCGGCTCTGGCGTCTGAGGATGGTACATGTGCTGGCTGCTGAGTACGGGCCACCGAAAGAGACCTGTGGTAAGACAAGCGATGAAAGGAGCCGAACTCCTAAAGAAAGGACAGGCTAGCTCACGCGGACGCCACGCAGAGTATGTGTTACTATCTTCAGATGTTGGAGCCAAATTGCCAGCCTTGTGACGTGAGATGTGGTGTTTGGATTCGGCCTCAAGCACTGGAAGGCCTACAACAACAAATCCGAATGAAAACTGTGGTCCTAAGACACGCGGTGCAGCTGCTTATACGTGGCACCGCGGGGGTCACAAAGAGATAGAGGGCTTGCCAGCAGGGGAACTCTGTCTAAAGAGAGCCCTGGCTCAGTGAGGAGCTGAGGGCCTGGCTGCGCTGATGCAGCGGAATGGTTGTTCGGCCTCGCCTCCGCTGAGGGAACAACAGTCAATGCTTCTCTGCAGTGTCGGTCCGGGTTAGTAAGAGCGAGAACGCCGGGACCTCGAGCTGCAGTTTTACCATGAAGCAACCGCGTGAGATGCATTATTGGTCAACTGGTGAGTAAGAGCGAGAAAGCCAGGGTGACGCTACTTTGGGGGAGGCTGCAAGGCACGGTTAGTAAGTGCGAGAAAGCCGGAGCTGCGGACGAACCTGGAGTAGCAGTTTTTCATACCTCACGTGTTTCACTTTGCGGCCTCGCATGCGCTGAGGAAATATGCCTCGAACAGAACATCCAGTGCTGAGTGGGGATTGCCAAACTTACGGAGGCTGATGCCACAACAAGTGCCTCAACAGCAATGCATGCGGAAGGCAAAGTTCGGCCTCGCGAGTGCTGAGGGTTGCAGCTGAGAGAGGGCCTAGCTGAGAACGCAACACCTCAAGCGAGGTAATTTTTAGTTTAGTTTCACCTTGACCAACGGCCCCTTCGGGTGGCTACGCCTCGCAGCGTGCAGACGAAAGTTCCTGTCTGGCTCAAGGTTTCGGCTCAACCCCGGTGGGGTGCTCAGGTAGGGAGTGCTGTTGCCTGGAGACTGTACCTAAGGGTGGGCTCCAACAGGACTCAAACCGCAACCACTGTGTTTGCTTGGTAGTCGGCTGCCAGCAACATAGCTGCCTGAGTACGGCCTCGCCAAGTGCTGAGGGAACTTTTCGGCCTCGCTTCGGCAGAGGGTGTGTTTTCGGCCTCGCTTCGGCAGAGGGAGTGGCCAAGTTTCGGCCTCGATCCGGCTGAGGACATAAAGTTCGGCCTCACTACGGTTGAGGGGATCTTCCGGCCTCGCATTGCTGAGGTGCTGGTGGGACTGGCATCAGGCTGCAGCAGTCATGGGGAAGAACTGTACTGTGTGTGCCCACTGCGAAGTGGGTTGGGTCTGGAATGAAGACTTGTACTACAACCCGTACTGCTGGCATTGCGGAAAGGCGTGGAAAAAGGCCACTTACCGTGAGCGAGCATGGTCAAGCCAGCGGAAGAAGTGGCAATGGCCAAAGGAAGATGCTACTTGGTGGACAAGACCTGCCAAGAACAAAGAAGGGATGGCCGACCAAGCCCTCACGAAGGCGTGGGGTACGCTTTCTATGGAGGCAAAGAAGGCCATCGAAGAAGCAGGATGGAAGCCGCGGACGATGGAGCCGGGGCCAATTTGGCCCCCGGGATTACCTGGCAATGGATCGCAGGTAGAAAGCATGTCACAGAAGGAGTACCATGCGGCCATTGAGACTGTGTGGCAAGGAGCCGAGCCCGCAGTGCAAAGGCTCCTCAGAGCGGCGGGTATACCCCCGCCGGGGGACTACAAGCCTGAGGACGAGACGCCAAAGCAGGAACTTAGCCGCCATGTTGGTACATACAGACGGACGACAAACAAGCTGAGAACGCTCATTGAGAAGAAGGTCCGGCTTCAGGACAAAACGGAGAAGATAAAGAGCGAGTTCGAGCAGGCCATGAAGCAGCTTGCGCAAGTCAGCCAGGCCATCCAGGCCACGGAGCTGGAGGTAGCGGAAGCACAGAAGAAGGTCCAAGCCTGTGTGAAGGATGAAGAGGACTCGCCATACAAGGACGTCGCGGACTACCTGGAAAAGGAAGGGATCATCCTGTCTGAGGAGCAAGCGGAGGCGCTCAAAACAAGGATGGCAGTCAAAGTCGTGGAGACAGACTGGACGGGAGTCTTGGGACCAAGAGAGCCGAGCATGCCAGTTGAACTTGGCATATATGGGCCGATGCGCATGTCTCGAGATGTGTCAGTCAGGGCAACGCCGACGGGGCGCGAACGCTCGCCGGCGCGTGCCCAGGGCGAGTGAAACCTCAGGCTGGGACAGGAGCGGAGGGGCCGACACCTCAGGGCAGCTCCTGGTCCGAACAGCCAAACTATGAAAGCAGGACAAGTAGAGGAGTCTCAACGGGGAGACTCTGATTTCTCTTTTGGCGGTGGCCGAAAGCAGTGTCACGGGGACATTGTATGGCCACAGGTACATGGGGAAGGCAGTCAAGCTGTGTGTAGTACCCAAGTGCCTAATACAAACAGCACAGTGGAAGACAGCCAAGAGAGCTGGAGTCCAGTAACGCGGGGTCCAAAGTCAGCCCGTGCTGTGGATAGCAGTTGGGCGGTCACAGGTCCCAGATACTTCGGTCTGGGAGGTGCGGACCATGAGGATGAATGGGTGAATTCGGCCTCGCAAAAAGCAGAGGGAAGCCAAACACAGATGGGAGACCCAACTGCGGTAAGAGGGGATAGCCTAAAGGCCTCGCAGAAAGCTGAGGAAGCAAGGTTGTCGGCCTCGCAACGTGCTGAGGGTCACCAAAGGAAGCAAAGGCCCAAGAAACGGAAAGCGCACCCAAGAGCACCACCCAAGGATCTACCACAGGAGTGGCAAATGCTGTGTCAAGTGGTGGGTAGATATGATGCTTCCAGTGAGGCTGCCGCACTCGAAGCCATTGAGAAACTGGAAGAGCAGGAACTCAACCCGCTACAACAACGAGCATGCCACGAAGTGCTTCGTTCCTTTGTGGAGCAGGACGCACAATATGCCAAGTGGATCTTGGCAGATGTGGCAAGTGGGTATCGCCAAGATGATAGGGCCGAATGCATCAAAATCACCTCGGCTAACATCACTAGCTGGAGGAAACCCATAGCGGCATGGATACACGAACTAGGACCGGACCTGGTGGTGCTGCAGGAAACCCATCTCAAGACAGAGGGTATCCAGCAAGCCATGAGCCATTGCCAAGATATGGGATACACCTTCATTGGCATGCCAGGCAGTACAAAAACTAAGGGTGTACAAGGAGGCCTGGCAGTGGTGGCACCCCGATATAGGAACCTGCGATACCTTACTGAGTATGGGACAGGACCGGCGGGCTTCCTGGCATGTGCCATGAGAAATAAAGGCTGGGATTTGATCATCGTCAGTCTGTATTTGGAGAGTGGGGTCGGATTCCAGGCTCCAAACAATATCCAAGTACTGGCGAGACTGATAGCCTTTCTCAAGGGCTGCAAAGTGCCATATATGGTGCTGGGTGATTGGAATGAAGCCCAGGATACCATGAGGGGCACAACTCTGGCGACAGAAGTTGGTGGTGCATTTGTTGGAGTGGGGGAACCAACGGCCCAAGGATCGGACGAAATCGATTACGGGCTGGTTGCGAAATGCTTGGTGCCCATCCTTCAAGTGAAAACGGATTGGGAAACCCCTTTTCGGCCTCATGCTGCAATGCATTGGAGGGTGGCCCAACCGTGCAGTAGCCCTGATGTTCCCCAGTTGAAGAAGGCGGGAGCACTGGTGACGGAGACTGTGGAATATGAACCAGTACAAAACACACAGAGCATCAACATCTTGGATGAACCCAAGATGGAAGATGAGCTCAGTGAGACATTTGCTCACCTGAGTGCCGGTGTGGAGAGGTCGATCACAGGCCGAATCGATGGTATGGGTGTTAAATCGGAGATTGTGCGGAAGAAATTGGTGGTCAACAACCCGGAGAACGTTGTCTGGACGGGCAAGAGGGCGGCCTTTTGGAACCGGGTCCAACAATGGGTCAAACAAGGCAGACATCATGGCGATGCACATCCGGTGGCGCGTCTGGTCCAACGCAGGCTCGGCGAGTATTACGAGGGTGATGCGCAGAACCAGGAGGATATGCTTGCGAGTATCCTGGGCCGGGGTACGGACGCTAGGCTTGTTCTGAAGCGCATCGACGAACAGCAATGCTACGCGAGAAAGGCGGATATGGAGGAGACAGCCCACCAGTACAAGCAATGGCTCAGTAAGGCCATGGAAAAGGGCATGCGACCATTATACAATGCCTTGCGAAAAGAAGAACAAGTGGTACAAAGACCCTACATGGAATATGACATGCTGGAACGGCCACACATTCGCCGGGACCACTGGGCGGCAGTGTGGACGACGGGCCAGCCGTTGGCAAAATCGGCCTCGCTCATGACGGAGCTTGAGGATGCAGCCAAAAAACAAGCGGCCAGCGTGGAGCCGCTGAACCCTGTCGAGGTCAAGGCAAGGATCAAAAAACTGGCACTAAAGAGCCCGGGGCCGGATGGCTGGAGGATTGACCATTTGCAGGCCATGGACGATAAAGCAGTTGAAGCCGTTGTGTCCTTCTACCATGAATGTGAGGCCAAGGCAGCATGGCCGCAGCAAATGACAGTCTCCCTTATAGCAATGCTGCCGAAGAATCTGACCCGGGAAAGACCAATCGCCTTGCTACACATCCTGTACAGGACTTGGGTCCGCCTGCGATGGGATTTGGTAAGTACTTGGCAGGCAGGCTATGCCACAGCTGCCACGTACGACAAGGCAGTCCCAGGCAGTTGCTGCTTGGACGTGGCCGTCGGCAGACTACTGCGAAATGAGGTGGCAAAGACAAATGGAGTGCATGTGGTGTCACTCTTTGTGGACCTCGAGTCCTTTTTCGATACCATCCAATTTCAGCAATTGATCATGGCAGCAACGGCCCTGCAATATCCACCGCTAATCCTGAAGATGGCACTGGAAGTGTACATGGGTGCCAGATACTTGGTGGCGGATGGGGTGCTATCGGCAGGCATCAGAGCTACAAATGGCGTGCAAGCGGGTTGCCCAGCGGCGCCATCGTTAGCAAAGGTGGCATTGCACCCGGTGATAGACAAGATCCAAAGGCGACGAGATGTGGCAAACGTGGACTGTTGGTTGGATGATGTCTCAATTGACATCCAGCATAAGTCCTTTAAACACGTGGCGGATAGTGCCATACGAGTCTACCGCAGCTTAAAGGACGGGATGGATGCTAATGGTTTCACGATTTCATCCAAGAAGACAGGGTTTGTGGCCAGCAGTACCCAGGCGAGCAAGCACCTGCGTGAACTCCTGCTGCCTCATGAGCCACAGGTGTACGACGTGATGCGTGACCTGGGCGTCGATAGTACAGGGGGGCGAAAGCGTCGCTTGGTGACGTCGGCAACGCGGGCCAAGAAAGCCCGTGCGAGACATAGCAAACTGTCTAGGCTGGGACCGCCGCCCAGCACTAAACTCCGCGTGGTCAAGGCAGCGATCACATCAGTTGCTTTGTGGGGGCACCCCTCTGTGGGGGTTTCACCCAAAAGAATGAAATGGCTCCGAACAGTGGTAGGAAAACACCTGGGTAAATACAAGCTTGGGAGTTTGGAAACCATCTTGGACATGGGAGCCAAGAAATGCCAGGATCCAAAGCGCACAATCCACAAGCAGCATTTCAAAGTGGTGGCCAAAGTTTTCCGTGCATGGATCGGTGGCGGAAAAGCCCACTTTGACTTGGCCTGGAAAACCACTTGGAAGAGGTTGAGTGCGGCCAAACACCACTGGCCACTGGTCACGGGGCCGATGGCTGCAACCATGGCGTACTTACTGGATCTGAAGGTAGATGCCAGTGACCCAGGCAAATGGAAGAGAGGTAGTGTCCTCAACGTTGATTGGACCCAGCCACGCATGGGTAGCCTCGCCTATAAATGGCTTGAGGGATTCCTGGAGGAACAGAAGCGGGCTGCGATAGCGCGACAGGCAGGTGGCGCTGGTGCCCAAGAGGGGCTGGATTGGACGCCGCATCACAAGTTGACGAAGCTGGGAGGCCTAAGCCCAGGCCTTATGGAAGGTATAAAGTCAGTGTGGCACGCGGGCGTCATCACGGAGTCCAAGCCAGGATGGTGCAAGAAGTGCCAAATGCCAGCAACTCTGGAGCATGTCCTCAAAGAATGTCCTTACTGGCGTGAACAAGGGTTCAAAGAACCCAAGCTCCAGGAATACTTGCGTCACAAATACCCATGGGAGTGTCTGTGGACAAGGGCACTCCTGCCAAAGCCGGCGGTGTGGCACCCGAAGCCACCGGAACACCTTTTAGGTCTACGTTACCAAGGCTGCTTTGCAGCAGATGCAAAAGTGGAAGCGGAAGGCTTGATCTTCGCCACTGACGCAAGTGGAGGTCCAGGAGGAATAGACCCACGTGTACAAACATCAGCCCTCGCAGTGGTGGCTCTGTCCTGGACAAAAGGTGTCCTGGTGGAAGCCGGACGGATTACAGAGCTGGTCTACCCGTGGCAGCCGGTGGTGGACATGGAGCGCCGTGCACTTTTCCGACTAATGGAGCACACGGAGGATCTGATTGATGTCACTATGGATTGCAAGCCGGCAGTCCAAGTGCTACAAAAAACACAACCGCCGGAGGATGACCTGGAATGGAGCAAAGTGTGGAATGACAGGAAACGTATCAAGGCAACCTGGGTCCCGTCCCACAAAACTGAAGAGGAATTCCTGGCGAAGATGGGGCCGGGCACGTTGTGGCGGCGTGCAGCGAATGACATGGCAGACAAAGTATGTGGTGCAGTAGCGGCGGCTGCTTACAGCCCAGCGCACAAGAGGCGTGTCAAAGAGTTGGACAATGTGGTGCGCACACTTTCCCTAGCGTACGGCGCACGCGCAGCCCACATATTGAGGACGCGCAAAGAAGAAGACTTCCCCTTCATCCTGGACCATGCCCATTACAAAGAGAAGATGGAGGCCTCGCAGAAAGCTGAGGGATGCAAAAAAGAGCAGGGCAACGCCAAACTCAACAAACGCCAGCGGCTTTGGCAGTTGCTGAAAAACCCGGAGCGCGGGCATCAATGGGAGAAGGGCAGCGAACACCCCCGGAATTTAACACTGAAATGTCAACTGTGCGGGTTGTATGTACAACAAACCCTCACGAACTTGGAGGTGGTCTTGGAACAGTACTGCGTCAACCAGCCGGAGGCGCGAGTGCGTGAAGAGTGGGGTATCCACCCCTCCCATAATATGGTGAA